ATCTGGTCACCACAACCAGTTTGTATCCAGCTTGATTAGAATCCTGCATCCTGCTGTCCCGTACTTCCATAAGTCTGTTGAACAACAGGGAAGCAAAAATTTTCGCTGAGACATCTGGTAGGTTGATTCCTCGATAATTGTCGCACTTTGTCCTATCACCTTTCTTGAGAATTTGGAATAGAATTGCTTTGCTCCAATCATCTAGTAATATTTCTTTTTCCCATACTAAAGTGTACATTTGTTGAAGGTGTGTTATGAAGGACAATGGACAACATTTAAAAAGTTTAGCGTTCTTTCCGGAGTCTTCCCGAAGACCAACTTCTCCCAGAGTCTTTTTGGCCTTAAGCTTGTGGAGACTATTTCTTCTTCTATTGGAGGTTCGCAGTTGCAACAGATGACGCTTCATGGTAAAGTTTGGCCACAAAGAATTTTTTCCATCTTAAGAGGCGGTCCTAATACTTTTGATTGACAGGCCATTGCTGTCCCTTACCATTTCACTGATCGTTTCCCGAGCCATAGTTGCTTTATGAAGAAGGCGTAATAGTTTCCTATTATCGCTTAATCACTTCGCCCTCTATTCTCAAGGCCATGTCACTCCAATAGTGATTTCTATCCCGTCGAGCTGTTTTCGTTGCAAATCTTCGAAGCATCCGGTAGCCAGGATCACATGACATTCGTGCTTTGGTAGTTTTTTCAGGCAGTTGCTTTCGATATCCAACTAGCACACTTCCTATTAGTATCCCCTAGCGTGGAAGTGGCCGACTTTCGGAGACATTATTTTTTGTTTGGACCAGTATTCATTTGCCGTTCCAGGAAAATCATTGATATTTGTATTATTGAGATGCTTCATAATTTAGTTTGAAATGCGCTCACTGTCCCTCAATTTTTTAGTTTAAAATAGTTGAAGAATCTTTGGCGATGCTGTTTCTTGCGAACTGACAATTTTATGCGGATCTTGACTCGAAGCATAACATGATCAAATCCATAAGGATTGTCCGCTTCAGCTCCGCGATGGGAACGATTGTCTAGTATGGAACTCTTTCAACGGCGATTGACTAAGATATAAACAATCTGGTTATCCTGGGTATTCTACATGACTAGATGTTTTTTACAATGTCGAATGATGCAAGCTATTGGCAGCAGAAAAAATTTAGCGATAAAATTTAGTGATTTGACGTCGGTGCTAAGATTTGCTTAAGGATGCTGTGTTTCTTAATGGCTTATTCAAAATGCAAAAATATCTTTAATTTACTTTTATATTATTTGTTCTTTTATTTCTTCGTTCTTTTGGTTTTTTCAGTTTTTAAATAATTTTTTAATTGCTTATTAGCCTCCCCATTAAACAAGCAATAAAAATTTTTAATAACGTAAATTTTTTTCAGAAAAGCTGAAAAATTGCATGGAGAGGCACGAAATTTGTGAATTTTAGCCCAGACCGTAAAATGTTCTATCGACTGTTCTATCAGACAGTGAAGTAAATTTATTTTTAAAATTAAAATTAAAATTTCTCTCTCCATTAAAATTTATCTAAGGAACGAATTAATGGCTTATAGAAAGCTTTTAAAATGCTCATATCTTTACTTACCTTATTAATATTTAACATTGCACGTGTAATAACTTCTGAAATGTTGATTAATCATTTCTTGTCAAAAATTAAAGCCATTCTTGCGATTTAAACTCATATGAAGGAAACTTTTCATTTAAGTTGATAGAGTAAATATTGGTATAAAAATCGAACTGAAAAAAAACATAAATTTTGATGAAAATGACATTGGAGAAAACAGGATGTTTGTTATTACTGACTGCTTTTTAAGCTCTGTATTTTACACGAAAATTTCTTTCGAAGTTGGTTTTACGTATCCCCCCTCTCCTTCATTCCAGATATCCTAACGATTTTCCGACTTCCCTTCTCATCTAGAATGTGTAGCTATCTAAATAGAAATTTTTTCGAAAAATTAGTTGATTTATGGACTAAAAACTAAATGTTCTTTAAGATAAGGTAGTATTATTCTTCATAAATTTTTATTGGTTCTATCATTAATTACAATAATCGGCTTCCTTGTATCTGGTGTTTTACCGGTATTATATCTGGAATATGAAAATCAAATCTAATTTTGTTCTGTGGAACAAATATAATTAATTGGAACCAGTTGATTACGTAATCGATCTTCTTGAAATCAAGAAGAAATTTTAAAATTTCTAAATTTTCGATTAGGGGCTAATGTTCGTTATTTTTTTAAAATTTCGTTCCATTCACATTTGATTAATTATTTTATCTCTATCTTCTTCACATTAATATTCCTAATTTGGCTAGCTCTGTCGACTCTTCCGTTAGAGAAGGATAAAAGTACAAGTGGATTTTTAGTACAACTCCAGTTTCAGTTTTTTTTTTCAGTTTTTGTAAAAGATTTACGATCGTGATAGTATATCATCAAATTCAAAAGTTATTTGAAATCGAAAAATGTCTAAAAATCAAAAACAGAAATCAACTTGTCAAGTCAGTCAACAAGAATCAGTTGATGAAGCAATGCATCTCGTAAAAAAGTGGAAGAAAAGAATTATCAAGAGAAAAAAACGATAGGCAGATTACGCCAACAACAAATAGGTTCGTGGAAATAAATCGCCAAAGGACTAATGGAATAGCTAAAAATAACAATATATAACAGCTCAAGAAATGGATAAAAATAGCCGCGGAATAGGGGCCACAAATGGGGCAAAAGGAAGATGAGCCGACCTAAGTTATTTTTTGTTTTTCCGTTTGGCGACACTACGACTTTAGAGGAATCAACATATACTTCTATTCTATTAGTTACCATATATATAGTCAGTCACCCAAATTTTATAAAATTATCTATCGGATTTATTTAATTTGTTCTAATAAAATCGTTTTCCTTTGCCTCTCATACAATTCGTTGTCTATATTTGTGGCGTCCACTGGTCGGATAACTTTGCAAAAATTGCTTCAAACATTCCAGAATTTTAAATTTTTTTATTGATACGATATAGGATATAGAATACTCTAATAGATGATGACGTTGATCATCGTGTTAAGGGATAGTTCCTATCCATTACAGTGTGATAATATTAAACTACCATTTAAAAATCTGAGTGATACTGGCCATCTCCCTCGATTTTTATCGCTAAATGACTTAATAAAATTTCTGAGCGCATTGTAACAACCAGAGGATCTAGCCTTTCCACAATGCTAACCACTTAGTTGCTTAGTTATTGGCATGTTTTTCTTACATCACTTTTAAATTAGTTCATTTGTTAAGGAATTTGGACTTTTATCCAGCCTTCTAACTATTTCTCGATTTCTGTTGAATTGTTTTGATTAAATTCGCAAAGCTGGAACTTTTGCCAAAATTGGTTCAAAAAATCAGAAATCAGATGAAAAAAAATAAAGAAATATAACGAGCATAGAGAAAAATGATTTTTTGACACAATTAAGCGTTAATTGGTGGCAATTGGTGGCAATTAATAGCATTAAGATTGTTCGTCAAATTGTTCAATTGAATTTTTCATAGTAAGTTAATGTTAATTAATACGCATTGGCCTATTTTTCTAAGTGAGAAACTGGTTTAGTATCAATTTATTTGTTAATCCAGTGAATAATGATGAATTACTATTTTACTTGTCTATCCTCTTTGGCAAAAGAATCTCATCAGCAGAACTAGCCAAGCGTTCAATGATTGAGTTTCGGGATAACTGTTCCTTATTTCTTTCAATTCGATTGAATTATTGAAAAATTTTTTGCAACTTTATTTTAATTTCAATTTAATTATCAATTATCACAAAAGGAATGAAAGTTAAAATTTTGGGTAATCAACATTTTTTCTGTTAATATCATTTTTATTAGTGCTAAACTATCCTATCTTTCGCTTCCTTCAAGGAACCTTTATCTTTTAATAATATTCACCATTTGCATTAGTTGTACTAAGATGGCCTTTGCAAAAGAACCAGTAGGGAAGTAAAGACAATTCCGCAGCATCGCTCAGATTTCACTTAACAGCTTGCTGTAAGCACTTGTAATTAATTTCCAAAAAGAGATCGACCTCGACTTTGAATCAACCTGTTTGATAAAGGCCACACCTACCAAATGAATTATTATTTTTATCATGTACTTGGGCTCCGTGCGAGGTTCCCAAACAATTAATTTTGATTTTTTTTATTTTTATTTTGTTAAATTTAAATATTTGTCCGAATATTTGTATAATATAATATTTGTTATAAATATTTGTCCAAATTTATTTGTTCTTCTATTTTTTCTTTGCATTGTCTAATTTTTTAATATTTTATTTTTTAATTTCCTTTTTTTATCGTTGTTTTCGTTTCCATGATTTGATTACCCAAATATGAGGATAAAATTCTGATATTTCGTACGATGTCTCACATTTTAAAACATGCCCATTCAAAAAGAAGTAAAAAGTAAGTAAAGAAAAGGGAAAAAAGTAGCGGAACTATTAATATTCCCACTGCCTAGGCCTATTTTTTGGAACTAGAATGGAATGAATTTATTATTTCGCATTAACTTATCTTTCAACTATATTTCGTTGCTAAAATTTTTTCTACAGTAAATTTTTAGCATATATTTGTGGTTGACATACATACCACATAATGGTAAAATTAAAGCCATTTTTACGATTCAGGTTCCATGAAAACTTTCTCACATTACTATTTCTTCCTCTTTGCATATTATGGATGGAATAACTTTAAATTTTTTTTCCAAAACTTTCTCGCCTATATTTTTTAATATTTTATTTTTAATAAAAAATTATCCAATGATGCTGCGACTCACCTGTACTTCTATCGACAAGGGATTCTCTGGCATATTTGTCCACTGCGATAAGTGAGCGAGTTTAACCAATAATGGTGAAAACTCTTTAAAAAAATAAAAAAATTATAGAGTCAAATTATAGAAAATCTGTTTTTGTCGATTTATTCTTACTTTTAATCGAAATTTCTCATTTCTCATTATTTTATTCTTTTCAGGTTCATAAATGTTGCGTCGAAAGTTCAGTGATTTAACGCTTTGTATCTCGTACCATATTAATTTCTTGCATGACAAAGGTTGCACTTTCCGGGCTATCATTCACTACAAAAGATTGGCTAAAAACCAAGAAAAGATTTTTACCAACTGAATGTTATATTTTATTTTTAGCGCATATGGTAAAAAATCTCTATAAACAGTACACCATATTAGAGGAAATTGGGCGTGGAGGATTCGGTATTGTATATAAGGCTATAAGGCGAAGTGATGGAGCAGCTGTAGCCATAAAATTTATCGATCATAGACATGTTCGAAAATGGACAGTGGTCAGCTTTCAGCTTTCTTCATAAAGTTTTGTGGTCAATTATTTCAGAATTTCATTTAAAATAGCATAGATATTGTTGATTAATTTCAGAAACATAAAAAATTAATACCAATGGAAATACATCTTCTTGAATTATGCTCTGGTACTCCTGGCGCTGTCCAAATGATCGACTGGTTTACGAGGTAATGCTATAAAAAAGATAACCAAGAGAGTATCAATAAGAATTAAAATGATTCAGCTCAAAAGGATTTATAATCGTAATGGAACGACCAGAACTATGTTTGGATCTTTTCGATCTTATCTCAGTTTATGGTCCACTTGAAGAAAGCTTGGCTCGATTTATATTTCGACAAATTGTCAAAACCGTACATTCACTTTATATTAATTATGGAATTTTTCACAGAGACATTAAGGTTGGCAATATTCTTAAGTAGATAAATATGTTAATTTGTTAAATATGTTAATTTTTTCTATATCACTGATATTCGACAATTTCATTTTCAATGACTACTGGAAAATCCTTTCCCCAGAGAGCTACTTTGTGATAAAAATATTAACATGTTCTCAGCACTATTCCGGATCTGACTCTTAATGATAGGTTTACTCTAATCAAGAGGCAAGAGCTTAACTATTATACCTAGACTGATAATTAAACTACTCGGCCCGTCCTTAAATAAATTGGAAGTACCAAACTTTCAGGACGAAAATATTATTATAAATATGCAAACGGGTGAAGCAATTTTAGTTGATTTTGGTGCTGCTACCTTATATTCAAGAACTAGTCGCCGAGAATTTCAAGGTATATTTATTTTAAAAGAATATTTAATTTCCTCGCAAAAATTTTGATCAAACTCGGTAGAAAAGCCACAGTATTGCTGGAATTTAATAATAAATCGAAGTTAAGAAATTCTAACTTCATTAAGGAAAAATGGAATTGAGAATTGTGACAGCAATTGTGAAAATAAAGCAAACTTTCTTCTACATTCAGGAACGCGTTCATATTGTCCTCCCGAATGGTTCAAAAGGCTCGAATATAGGCCTTTAGAAGCAACTACGTGGTCACTTGGAATAATACTGTTTGTAATGGTTACTGGCTATCATCCATTTCAAAGTGAAATACAAATTTGCTTAGGAAGAATGAAAATTCCGAAACAAATAACGAAAAGTATTCATAGTTTAATTTTAATTTTATTATTTTATTTTATTCACCATCAAAAAATTTAAGGAGTTTCAGTTCAGGAATTTGGATTAGAAAATTGTCTCCCAGGACATTATCAATAAATCTCAATAGCTATTTTTCACTGGCAGAAATTTGCGAAAAGATTTTAGAATGTGAAGATCTCATAAGAAAATGTCTGACTCTTGCACCAGAACGTCGCGCTAATTTTCGCGAAATTCTCGACCATCCATGGTTAAAAGAATGGATTTCTATAGAAAATGAGCAATTTAAGACAATACTCGATCGAAAATTAAACAATAGCATTGTGAATTGCCAGAAAAATCGAAATCATAGGCAACAAAGTACGATTAAAACTAACAATCAATTCAGTCGTGAAACATCTTTGGAAGCGGAAATCGATGTTTATGAAACGATTCAGCGCTGTTCAAGTGCAAATGATGTAGCTGACCTACCAGATGCTATAATGTAAATTCATTTTGAATATAATATTTTGAATATAATGTAGCATAAAAAATTTTTGATTAAAAATACTTTAGACCAATCGTCCGGCGTCGAATAATCAAAGCCGCTGTGATCGAGAATCACAGCCGTAAAAGTCGAGGATATTCAATGCAAGTTTTCATTCTGAAGCAGTAAACTATTTTTCGATTCCAAGTTTTGGCTGGGAGAATTGAAACATTAAAATTTTGTACCTGCAATTGCAATTTGCTAAAAAGGTAATTTGTTAATGGCCAATATCACAATGAAATTTCCAATTGTAGATACGATAATATTGCGATGGATTTATCGATGGATATACCCTACATCGAAGAAAATCGATCCAAGTCAAAAAAAATTGGAGGTGATTCAACTGATTTTAGTGAAGTACCAACAATGAGCTCAACACCATTTTATTCCGCTTATGATTCAATTTCACAGCGCAATCTGACACGAAGCAGTTCAATCATTGATTTAAACTTCACATTTAAATCAATGTAAGTCATTTTCTGACTAATATATGCATCAGCATTGTTCGCTGGGGATAGGGTGGCGCAGTGGATTGTTGTGCTTAATTGGGAGCGCCGATGCTGAGGTTCGACTCCCCCGGAGCAAAGCTGTCCAAATATCCAAGTAATGCTGGCGACTCACCTACATCTTGTCCTCTGCGACAAGCCAGTGGATCGAGTTTAACCAGTAATGGTGAAAGTTTCTTTAAAAAAAAATCAACATTAATACGATTAACGAGATCCGGAGGTAGGTGAGATGCTTTGTATTTGATTGATTCTAATTTCAGAAAAAGGCTAAATATTTTTGCAGATTCTCTGGAAGCAGTTTCAAAACTTACAGCAGAAGTGCAACATTCGATAGCATTTCTTCAGCATTATTGACAGCAGAACAAATGTATTGATAACTAAGAATGGTAAAAATTTCATGATTCGAAATTCACTGCTTAAAACATGAATACTGTTGGATTCAGTGTGAAACCATTATATACAGTTTTAGCTAAAATATCGAAATCATTGGATCTAAAATGTATTTGCGATTTTAGCTAAAATTTGTAAGCTGCAATGCAGTTATTTTAGAATTGATCTAAAACAATATGATCTCCAGTATTCTGAAATAATTGTAATAATTTTATTAGATTGTAAATAAAAAGTTTAAACAAAATTATTTCTTAACTCTTATATAATCAGCTATTGTATTACCTTAAGCTTTGTTTACCAGAGGTGCCTATTCTTGTCTCTCCATTTCTTAAACTTCTTTATTAAATTAAATTTCGCAATTAATTTCTGTGCTGCTGGTTACATATTTATGTTAATAAATATTTCATATAATATTTTTATTTACAAAAAAATCTCTTTTCCACTCCTTTGGGTGGTATGGATCATCCTGAATCTTAGTTTCTCTGCCAGAGGCCTGAGGAACTGGTTCTCTCTGCAGCATCTTAGCTATTCTTAGCACCGCGCTCTTCTGGAGAAAGATCTCTGATGTTGTTTCTGGAATCTGTTGATGTTACCTTTCTAACTTAAGGGTTATAGTCCCAAGTGCTCCAATTATTACTGGAATTACTTTGCCTTTCAAATCTTCTCTAGTTTCTTTTTTTTAGCCCTTGGTATTACTCTAACTCGTCATATTCCTTCTTCCTAACGTTTGCTTTATTATTCTCCACGACTTTTTGAGGAGCCACCCATCGAATTTTTGGAGGATCTAAACCATACTATTCCTATAGACAATGTCAGATAATTTTTCAGTGTATGTTTATTCAGTTTATTCCTGCTTACATTTTATATTCTATTATTATGTATTGGACAATTTCTGAGGCTTTATCATACCTTGAATACTGTCTAATGTAATAGATCTCTGCTTCGATAAATGTCGTGCTTAGTAATTATTCTTGTTCCTGTGATGCTGTGATTAATGTCTGTCAGTGTTGCTTTTAGCTTAACTTTTTCCAGCCATTAGCAGGATTTTTCAGAATCAGCTACCCCAATTACATCTCGTCAAGAGTCTTGTTTTGCCATAACATTGCACTTTATTCGGTCTTTCTCCAAGGTCTGTTGATACTTCAGGCATTCTCATACCAGTTCACCTTTGTTGCCATCTTATTGATGTATTCCTAAATGTTTCGAGCTTCATTCAAGGCAATGATTTGGTCATTCACCAAACCTAACCCGTCTTCTTTCCAGTTGGTGTACAGTCTTTGAGAACTTAGGGTATAAATATGAATTATGAAGAGTTTCCAGGTCTTCACATCAGCAGCTCCCATGTCTCCCTTTGACCAGCCACTGTGCCAGCAGCTGTGATAACTAGCATGGTGTATTTTATTTTGTTTTTTCCATGCCTCTTCTAGATCTATGTGATCTACTATTTTCTTTGCTTCTTTGTCGTGGTTCTTATGTGACTTTAGGATACCCTTATCAGTCATATTCTTTCTCTCTTTTTGCTACCAGACGGTCATTTCTCCAGTTCGAATGACATCCCAATGCCCCATTCGATTTAACGTATTACTTCCTTATCCATGTAGAAAAGATGGTAGCTCATGTGTCCGTATCCACTTCTTTGTGGCTGTCTGGTTAAGGGGCTTAGAGGGTTTCAAGGTTTCCCAGTTGTGCAAGCTACTTCGATTTTTAATGGCTATGGTGCTTAATAAAGCTTTCCTGCTATGCGAAGTTAGATAATTAATCGATAGTTGGTGTTAACCAGCCTGGATGGGAACTTTATTTTCTTTAGCCATTAGATATGAATCGTATCCGAATCAGGTGCTATCTGACTTAAGCAGCTGTCTGCAACAGTGATGAACTATAATTGAGAATACCCCTTAAATAATTTTTATAAAGAATAGGGCATATTTCTTTGGCCTTTACTTCCCTATCTCATTCTCATTACCTTGATAGTCAGCATTCTGGGCCTTTATTTAACAGTCTCCAAAGATTACAGTGTATTGTTCTTTTTAGTAGTCGGGTCCTATTCTTAATTTTCACTTCCAATTTCCTTCTATCAATTGGCCACTTCTATTTATTCTCAAACTTACACCAATCCACTGGGTTCTGTTATAATAGGAATTGTGAGAACTCTTTTCGCATTTTCAAGTATATTGTCTGGTGGTACTTCGTTCAGTCTCAGTAGTTAATCTTTACAGCTATTTTATGATTTTTTCTTCCTCATATTGGTTGAATTGCTTTGGAAGAGAGAGAAGGGAATTTCCAGCATTTCAATTTGTGCACTTTTTCCACCGGACTATCTTGGGTTAAAGGTGTAATGCAGAATTAAATTATGTCCACTTGTCAGAACATTATCCTTCTTTTTTTTCAGTTTCTTTTTTTCCATATTGAAGCTTGAAGTTGTTTATCAATTAATGTGGATGAAATAGCTGAACACCTATGGCTTCTTCATACATTTCACTCATCCCTTTTTATTAAGCATGCTGCTGTAGTAACCCATCAATTCCAAATTATCTTCTCTTGTCCATGTAAAGTTTGTTCCAACAGCAAACTACACTACCCTGGTGCACAACATATAGGTTTTAATAGTCCATTTATTAGATAGACCTGGTTCTTCGACGTCTAACGTGGATTCTATTTTAGGCTACACTCTTCTTCTTCTTCCAACAGCTCTCATTATTACTGGTTGAGCTGGCTTCTACAAGGGTAAAACGCTTCCAAGCCACGTGGTCTGATGTCGTCGACAGTAATAGAAGCCATTCCTTTTTCCATCGTTTAAGTCCATATATTGCTGGTCCACCTATACGTTCAAAATCTTTCCTGACCATATCAGTCCAGGCCCACCTCGCTTTTGATGCTATCCATCACACAGTTTAGCAAATAACGTAATGTGCGACAACTCCTGTGGTGGATGATGGAGAACGTGCCCTAACCAGTGAAGGCAACGCTCTATGATAACATTACGTATGCAAGTGGTATTTGAACGAAGGTAGATATCTTATCCATGTGATATCTTATCCGCTCTACGGATCCGTAATATGTACTTAGACAAGAGTGGTCAAAGGTAGATAACTTCTTAATATCCTCCATTCTCATTGACCATGTCTCACAGCCATATAGCAAGATCGAACAAATCACGGCTATATAGATGGCGGACTTTCGTCTTAATGATGATTTCATGACGGCTCCATAAATGTTTCGTCAACCCGGAAGAAGGCATTTCTAGCTGCCGTGATCCGAGCTATAATATCGTCTTTTGCATGGCCATTTGCTATTAGAGTGGACCCAAGGTATTTAAAATCGGGCAGTTCCTCGACCGGCAATGAATTTACAAAAAGGAGGCATTTTATCAGCTTCATAAGACGATGATTTTCGTTTTATTTACATTGATCTAGAGTCCGATTCTCGCTACAGTTGCTGGCACGTTATTTAGCCTTATTTGTATTTCATCACAGATGTTAGCAAAAAGGACTACCTCATCAGCGTATTCAAGATGTATTACGATGCTCTGCACTGATTTGGGCACCTCTTGAGTGCCGACAAGCAGTATCCATTATCCAGTCTATCGCATACTGTAGGGGAAAGGACGAAGCCCTGATGGACACCAGTTCTTATTTCGAAGGACTATGTCAGCTCCCCATATACAGATCTGCCACGAAGCACGCTCATAAAATGCTTTTATGAGTCGAATGATCTTCACTGGAACACCGTCGCATTCTGTCATCCTCCAAAGCGCCGCTTTATCAATTGAATCAAAGGTTTTGGGCGAGCGATGAAGCCTGCGATGAAGCGATAAAGCATGATTCTAGTTGGACTCTAGTAGTATATTTAAGGTATTTTTCAAGCGATACAAGGAAAGTTGGCTATGTCTCGAACTCCTCTTATTCTTGCATCCCATACCAAATGCTCTTTATGCAATACGTACATAATTATAATTATAAAAAAAAAATATAGAATATAAAATACGAATATAAAATATAAAAAACAAAATAAATATGTTTTAACAATAAGTGCCTGGAAATTTCTCTTATTGAAAATTACTCAGGCCAATTTAGTGTATTTTTCAGGAGAAGCATTTTATTTATAAAATATTCATGTTAGCGGCCAATTTATGTGATTCCATAATTTCATTTATTATTAACCTACCTTCGGCTACCTTTGTTGCAGTGTAAAATTTGTTTTGTGGCTACAATGAAAATTTTTATTGGTGTATATTATAAACAATTATTTGTTAAAATATGTCGTTTCTGCAACGTAATATTTTTTTAAAAAAATAGAAGTTGAAAATCGAAATGATATAAACGATTGGAGACTTGTAATATAAATTTTCAATTTCATTGGAAAATTTTTGCGGCTGACAATTTCAATTTTGCTTATTTTAAAATACATTTTGATCAATTTCCATATTTTTAAATGCATGAGAACATCATAACAAATTATTCGCATTTTATTAATTAATGCAATTTAACAAATATGGCATGGTTGGTTGCTGGAAATTGAATACAGCGATGAAATTCTAGGTAACTCTGCCTTAACACTTTTGTTGTAACTTTTGTAATGCCGTTAAGGCATTTAAATGCTCAAACACTCATTAAAATGCCAACGGAAAAGGACTGGTTGGTGAAAGAGACTGATTGGAAATGATTTAGCAATGAGCTGATAACAAAAAAAAATTGTAATAAAAAATTTTAATGCTAAAAGTAAACACGACCACTAATGCTAAAACTATTTGTTAAATCGATTCGTCCGTAAAAATGAGCACGTAGGCATTATGATTATAATTATAGCATTTATTGCATCAAATTTTTGTTTCTCTTTGACCAGTTGTGACGTAACTAAATGATTAGCTCATATCATTTTTGGTTAGCTCTCTTTACTAGCTATTATTATTATTATTATTACTATTGTTATTATCATTTATTATTATTGTTATTATTATTTATTATTATTTATTATTATTATTAATTATTATTATTTATTATTATTAATTATTATTATTATTATTAATGAGAATATTTGACTAGAGAGTCATTTGCGAATGGAAGTACAAGTGAATTTCCCGATTATGCTTTCCTTGCAAGGCTGGAACTGATAAGAGTTTCTAATAAGTTAGCCAAAGGAAAATTGTTGAAGTATTCACTATTGTTGAAGTATAACTGCCAAATTCCTCTGAAATCTAAAAATCTATTTCAAACCTATAATTAAAAATACATCCCAATTAATGGATCAGGCAGATAAATGCTCCAAATATGTGTGTTCTTGCTTCATATCGTGAATTTTTTAAAATTTTCTTCTTTCTTAATGAAAATGCTTATCGGATTCGTTATATTTGTAATCGAAGGTAGCATTATGTTGTTCATGAATATAATATTTGCTATTGCTTTTATCAAATCATCAATAGTTAAAAAATATTTGATAATTTTTTCCAAGGTAAACCAGTAAAAAGAATATAAAAATTTTAGAAAACAATTTGAAGCAAAAATATTTGTGACAAGTTAGCTAGAATTACAACAAAATTTAATTATTTTTGTTTTTGTTTATAATATTTGCTTTGGATTTAGTTAATTATTGATGGATTCATGGCATTTTCTGAACAACTGAACGGGATTGGCAAAATAATAGTTCTTTTAAATGGAGCGATGGAACGGAGATCTAGACGAGAATGTTTATTCATGCCTTGGAACTTGATTTATCTATGGTAAGAATTTTTTGTCGATGAATGAATTGTTTTTTCGAGGTTCCATTTCGAAACCAAAAAAAGCGATCAACAAAAAAATAAAAACAGCATAAAATAAAATAAGAAGCAAATTTTTTTTAGATTGACTGAAGGGATTCTTCAGAGCTTGCGAACTATATTACAATAAAACAAAGAGACAAATGCTAAATAAGCTTCGACATAATAAAGAAGCAAAGAGCCACAAGCATCATTACATAAAGAATATTCAAAAAAGGCTAAAGCGCTTCGATCAATAAGCTCTTAGGTCTAAATGCAAAGCCTGAAAATTTGCGAGAATATCCGATTTTAAAATTTTAAAATTTAAAATTTAAAATTATAGAATTGTGGGAAAGAGAGCTTTAAAAAACAACCAGAACTGCATTTGGATTTTCACCTTAATTCCTCCCTTAATCTTTAGTTTTTTACTTAATTTTATGCCCTTTTAAGATGCTTTAGCGATGTTCCTTTAATATGGGTATGGGTGAATATGCAAATAGAGCTTAAATGACAGAATGCATAAATTTTAGTAAAATGATTACATCGCTCAACGAAATCTCTGATTAAACAAACCATTAAAAACGAAAGGGAAAAAGGAAAATGGGAAAAAATGATTGACGAAAAAGGCCATCATTTCTTTTCTCGTTTTTTGTTAATAAATTGAAGTAACTATAAATTTAATCCACTAAAGTCAATATAAAATATAGATCATCCAAAGAATTTGTTGCAATTGTTTGAAAAATTGCGCTTTTCAAGGTCAGAACCACTTTCTGCAATAATACTTATGATTATCAGTATCGATCGATTAATTGCATTATCATTTCCCCTACAGTACCACAAGTATGGATGCCAATTACAAGCTGGCCAGGTTATTTCGAAAATTGAATCCACATAAGATTCAATGAAAAATTAAAATTTAAGAATTTAAATTTAAGAAAAATCAGGGAAATTTGTAATGGAGTAATTTTTCCATTGATGTATTTTGTGAATTTCATAGATTTTGTTGGGTAAAATATTTATATAGAATATTGTGGCCATACTAGCGATCAAGGCCAGATTCTAAAACTCATATTCTAAAATTCTAAAAATAAAAAAAAATGATTCTAAAATTTTATAAGTCATTTTCTCATTTATATTCTCATTTACATTTTAACAATAAAAAAATGAATTAATCAGCTGTTTTAGATAATTTTATGGGTGATACTGGTTGCTCCATTGATTGTGTTCGCTTTTTATCGATCTTTCTTTGACAACGGTGTACTTCACACTCCGTTATGCTGGTAGGCTCATTTGAAAGTCATATCTCGCATTTTCTTTTTAGCCCCTTTTAAATCGTGGAATTGTTGAGTTAGCTAGTTGAATAATAGAAATGTCTGAATTATAGGTTTAGATGCAGCGTTAATCCAGAATTCCGTAGCGCCTTTAATATAATCCGCATCGTCACGAGTGTTGGTGGTGTTATAGTTTTTCTCATTACTTGGGAATTATTTCGGCAAAAAATTTTGAATGTAAGTTTTTAAAATTATTGAATTATTAAAATTATTGATCATTAAAAATAAGAAATTATGCAAATGCCTTTCAATCGAAACGATTTGAATTAAAGAAAAAACAGAAATTTTGAATAATTTTTCAAAATCGCTGAAAAAAAAATTTTAACTCATAAAAGAAAACGAAGATACTTACTTCTTGGATTTTTACTGATATCAATCATATGAAGTTCGAGCAGCATCACCACTTTGATTTGGCTAGTCCATTCAGTTAGGGTATATTAATCCTTTTAGCTAGGAAATCAGATTGCCGTTAAATATATTCCAAACATCACCCCTATTTCATTTTCCATTGCAATCGCGGGTTCATTTCAACCTATAAACGAAACCTCAGTGTTTGACTTTCGTCGAAGCAGCATATGACTTGATTTTCCTTCTCTTATGCCCAAATTAATAATTAATAAATTAATAATTTGTCCCAATTTCTTTTTTTACTGAGATCATCCTAGTCTTGCAATTGCAAATATACAGATATATGTCAAAATATACAAATATATGTCAAAGCTGTTTCGATTCAAATGTCTCCATTCGTTAACTTGAAGTAAAAATTTCCAATTTTAGCAGAATATGACCGTTAAAGCTTACATAAGACGACAACGCCGTTTAACCATAACAATGGGTATTTGGAATGTTTTTACGTTGGTTTTGTATGTGATGCCTGTTGCAGTACAATTTGCTAGCGATCTGTTAAGAATAGAGCTGTCTCATAATTTTTTAAATGTTATTATGGTGATCTGTTTTAATCTTAATCCCTTCCCACATCTTATCCTTTTAATATGGCGGCAGTCTGATATAAATTTTGCAGTTGCCAAATTATTGCCTTGTATTAAAAAATTTCGGCATGTTTCAGCTATTGACACATTCAAAGTTAAATCGATTAAGTCGAGAAATGCTTAGCAATTTATGATAGTTGCGTTTCCCTATGAAGATTTTTTCCCATATTTTATTTTAATTTATTAAAAATGTGAAAAACTTTTGTTTAATAAACAATATTTTCTGAAAAATTGTTGTTTGAAAGTTTGTGCAAATAATAAATACTAATACTAATTTTAATGAATAGTAAGTTTTTGAAAATAATGAATTCTAATTTACAACAAATAATTTCACTATTCACTACAATTTAAAGATTGCAATGTTATGAATTGCTTAAGCAGATAAGGCGTACAACTTTTGATAACAAATGCCAAATTTTCGCCAAAACTTTTTTAAAGGTCGCAAAAATATGAAACAAAAATATTATTTTTCATTGGAAGCATACAGCGAAGCTCACATAATTTGAACTAACATAATTCGCGATTGGCTCAATGGTTGCTCTTATCACAGTGAGCGTCGATATGCGACTCCTATCGTGACATGCAAAAAGAAAATTTCCCTGGATCTAAATCAGCGGAAAATGATGAGCGCTTCAAGAAGCTCTCTAACGAAAGTTTTTCATCAAAGTGGTGAAGTAAGCCAAATGGGAAATGGTACTTTAGAATTGGAAAAAATTTGCAAATAATAAATGAAATTTCTGCTCTAAATTTTAAAATTGACTAATATAATAATAAAAATAATTATAATATATATTATAATATATATAATATCCAAATTACAATATATAATATAATAAAAGTAATAAAAAATATTTGCCTGATTTTTTTCGATTTAAATACATTAATAATGGCTTCGCATGTTTTTTATGCACGAAATTGAATCAATATTTCGGCATAAATTTTATGCGATTTCACATTTACTGATAATAAATAAATTCTTTATCTTTTATTTCCACTGATAATTTATTATCAGAATTTAAGATGAAATGACTAGCGGTTCGGTCAACGTTTACGAAACTTCTTGCATTCATTTCTAAGCCAAATCTTTTGTAATTCTTCTGGTAAATATCAATCAGTTAATCTGATTTTTTAATATGATAATTATTTGCCAATAACAAACTAGGTTGAGGTGAAAAATTTATTAATTATTTAAAATTTTGGTAGTTATCACTGGGCAATTTAATCTTCATTATCGACTTCCTTACTTTTATTGGGTTCAAGTGGTGCAATCACTGGATGAAATTGGTCATTAGAGAAAAATTCTCACTAAATTACTCTATAAAATATTTCTAAAGATTGGCAAACAGTATAAGTATTATCATGAGCCATTCCTAATATTAATTAACAATAATAAGTATTTTACAAAGTAGCACTTTGCATTTACCATTACCCATATGCCTGTATTTCATTTGATTTTCGAATGAAATGAGGAAAGAGGAGAGGTGCGGATGAACCTGCATCACGCAAATTTTGTTTTAAATGATAGATTTAATGCCGGTCAAGATCAACAAATATATACAAGGCCAATAATTTGGGTATCCAAATTGACCTTGGCTTTGAATATAGAATAGTGCATATTAAATGAAAATTTCCCATTTTTTTGCTCCTCTTTTTATCGATTCGAACATAATTTTCTGGCCAATGAATTTCATTTTGATTTCGTGTTATTTTATTCATTGTAAAAGATTAAACGAGGAAGATTAAAATAAACTTTTTCTATCATATCTATCATTTTCGTTATTTCCATCTTTTCAATTCTGAATAAATTTAAAAAAACTTCTCTGATTTATTCATTTTATTTCAGTTTCATACTTTCCAGTTATCCGAGTCTCAAAGCAATTATTGCAGAGTGAACGATACCAAAGATGTGCCTTTAAATTTACCATTTTTTTTTATTTCATGTGACATTATCTCATTTAATTTATTTGAGAAAGAATATAGCAATTATAGCATCGAATAATCGGATGTTACCTTGTCGTTTTGATATTTTTCGTTCCAATTTTTAAGATTCATTGACATAATATTTTTTGCAGTCGAAATGAATTTCTCTATAATCTAATGATAAACTGCAATTTGCTTGAAATTCTAATTATAAGAATTAATAGAAACAAATATCCTAATATAATATTAATATTTAATATTTCTACTTCGTTAATTTGCTGATTAATTGAAATGATGGATTTTTCTGGACTTAAGGTGGTGAATTTTTGATAAATTTGCAACTTAACGCCTATAAACTTTGAAGAAAGCGCTTTATTTTGAATTGATGAGAAATACGACAACGATGAACTCTGATTTTTTAAATGAAAGAGTTCATTGGCGATTTTCTATTTATCGTTTATTACTCATAAATCCATTTCAATGAAAGTTGTGGCATCCGATAGCTCGCATTTTTTTGGTCTAACAAAAATCTTTCATTTCTTATTTTCCTTATTGATGTCTTCTTCGATCTTTTTATTGGATGTACTATAGTTGTGTTAAATTATTGTTAGATTATCAAGAGCATTGGTATTGACGTCTGCTTCTTCTTTTCTCCTTGTTAATATAATCAATTTTTAGCTGTTGCAGAGGACTATCGGTACTTGGAGCGTTAAATTGGACCCATCCTATTAAGCCAATTGAGCAAATGAGAAAGAAATGAACTGATAATTGGCTTAATTAGTGATTTAATAGATTTACAAATTTTAAAATTTTTATAAGTCGAATTCGCTTATAAAAATGCTGAAAATTTTATTCAATATATTGAGAGCTTCGATTAAACGTCACCTATAGGTTACTTTAGAACCATAATTCATCCAGTATCTTGCGGTGGTTTAGGAAAGAACACATAATAACAATAAATGATGTAAATTAAGGAAAAAATGATTAGGGAACCTTTTTTGAAAGCTTTTAGGATTCTCAGTTTTCATCCAATAAGTATAAGTCAATGTTCATTAAAAAAATGGCTTTGATTGTAAATTGTTACCATGTCAATGAATAATGAGTTGGGCAAAATATGAGTATAGACTTGTACTCTAGTTGCAATAAGTTCTAGATAAAGTGCCATACAACCCTGGCTTCCATAAGACATGACTCCTACGATGAACCAGCGTCCACTTTTATCCCTTGTTACAAGACCAGCACCACTGTCGCCCTAAAAAATCTTCAACCATTTCATAAACAATAATAAGCAATAAAAACTATCCATTATAATAACTTATAAACTTATAAAAAATAACTTTTCTATAAAATAACCTCACATAAGCCAGTCGTATAAGTTTCTTTTATACAAATAGAATCGTCAGGTACCATGTATTCCTGACATTGGTGTTCTTCTTCTAATTTTCTATGGAATACTATCTGCATATTGTTTGTGGCAATAGCTTCATTGAAAGCTAAATTATAAATTTCATGGATTTTGAGAAATTAAAAGAAATGAATTAAAAAGCATTTATTTATTTTCAATATTTCAGCTAACGATGCTGCGTTATATAAATATTAATATATGCTTCAAAAGAAATTAAATCCATTTCCATTTCACCGGGCGTTTATTATAGAATGATGAAATTCTTCATACGGAAAAAAAATAATGATGAAAATTTTATGATGAATTACAGAAAGAGAAGGGGTCTGAATCTTGCGAGCAGCATCTGTTATCTAATATCACTTTAAATCAGCTGCTTCCCCAAAATTTTAAAATGTTTTACCATCATCCGCTCTCTTGGCGAAATCGATGACACTTTGCAGACATAAGCTGGACCAGTTGAAAGTCCAATAGCACTCCAATGGAATTAGTTTAAAGATCCTTAAACCTTAAGAACCTTATCTGGAATGGCAGAAGCAGCACTCCACATCTCTAAGGGTGTTACGGATCATTTTAGGATTTGATTTAGGATTTTTGTTTCAACTTTTCAGCAAAACATGATGATGATTGCACTTCACTTACGATTTGCACCCCATCCATATGACCAGTAGCCATATTCGCCAAGTGGAGTTGTAGCCTGCCGATATGGTAAGCACACATAATTTGCTGAATTATCAATCTCATGTTTGAGCTCTAATATCGCTATATCTGATCTTTTACAACCATTGCGGAAAAAGTGTTTGTAGACCACACTGAAACATATAAAATTTATAAAATATTAACAAAAAATTTTATCTAATAAAAAACCAACTATTTGATTTGAGCTTTTTTCATCGGCGGCCCATCACAACCAAATCCGTCAAATGTTTGTTGTTGGCAATTGCTACCATACGAAACAGTAAAACGTTTTATCAGCTCGTTTATCTCAAATGCATTCTCTACGCTAAAATAAGCAAATTTGAGGTATTTTTGATGCGAAATTTCTTTAGAGAGGATTCGAGTAGATCGAAAATCGAGGGTCAAATAATAAGGAAGTGTGTGATGAAAACATTTTGACCTTTTCCATGCTCTTTTCCATGCTCAATTTAGTCCTCGACTTCCTCTAATTTTAAAAATCTTCCGAACCACTTTATCCTTAATATGACCTCCATTGATCATAAACACCTTCAAAATTATTTCCCTTCGAAATGATATTATTGAATGCTGTTCAAGTGCGTTCAAGTAATGATCAATGATGAAATTGCTATGATAGTTGTTCAATTACAGAATAATTGCGGATTAAAATATTCGGAGGAATTAATTTTGGCCGGTAATCTTACGCCACCAATTCAGGTTACCCAATTCATAGGTAAAAATAAACTTATCGCAAGTGTAGCACTGACTGAAGTTTGTGATCTGAATGAAGCCATGCGATAATCGAATCGTATATTTTTATCACTCTTGACCAAGAAGCTATGTTATTTGAAAATAATGGATCAGATATAACCGAATCATGTTTTTTCTCACCAAAGAAAAGATGGTTCACGTGGATGTTCCTATTCCTTACCTTATAGCCATATCATCGAGTATAACCACATAATTTTGAATTTTGAAAGGTAATAAAACCACTTTAGAAGCAAAAAATCATATTAAATTATATATAATTATTACCAAAAATGTAGGAACTACAAGCGAACTACAAACAGCAAAAGCTTCATAAAATATCATTTGAACTGGTGTTTATCTCAATAAAATTAAATACTGAATTAATATAAATTTGAATCTCAATAATGAATACTTCATAAATAAAAATTACGAGTATCGACGTTTCAGACTGATTGGGAAACGGCACAGTGGGAAAATTTATTCGCACTGAACGTAGTTAACGTGCGAATAATGGGGAAATAACTTCCATGTGTGATTAACCTTTCTTGCTTCAGGAACTACTCTCGATGTAGTTTTCGCTAGTGTTCTCTTATTTTAATAGTCACTTGTTTCGCTTCTAGTTAAAAAAACGAGGAAATGGAATTAAAATGAAATCAGTGTATGTCGCTTTTTTCATAACTCTCAGTGATTTTATATAAATAAGTTAAATTTTTATCATAACAGAAAAATTTTTCATCTTTTCATTTCTATTCCACAAATACGAGGCATTCATATTTTTTTGTTAAGTCACTTCTCCTACTATTTCAATGAAAATTACCTGCACATTCGAGGTTTAATCTGATCTTTCGAGAAACAGTGCGCAGCGGTTAAAACATGTTTTATCGAAATAAGTGTTCCCGCACATACATTTTCTTAATTACGGTAAAATCTTTAGTTATAAAATAATTCTTGAATCACTGATTTGACGAAAATAATTTTTTAATTATTTTAGGCGTAATTTTTCCATACAATTATTTAGTTAAGATACTTCTGCTAAAAGATTGCCTATTTGCAGATAAATCAAATAATAATACACGATTAAGATAAACCATACGATTTCCTCAGTCTATTAGATGTGTCACCTATTGTTGATAACCAAAACAATATAGAGACTTCATTTTTAAAGGCTTTATTATCTGAGTTTAAAAATGTCTGCAATTTTAAATAAGCCTCGCTAAAAATAATATAACAATCATCCTATTCAAGAATTTTGCAAAACCAGTTCAAAACTAAGGAACCAACCGTGATCTCGAGCAATCATAACGGCCCATGGCATCTGACCCCATTTAGAATTCCATCCACCCATCACTTGAGGTTTAATGACAAGCGGTTTTAGAATTTTTCCACTAATTCCACTCGATTTTAGCTCCCATCCACATTTCCGTTCATCTAAAAATTTATTTAAAAAAGGATTTGCAATTTTAATTGCTCTTTTGTATGTTAGTGATTTTAAATTTTACTACAGTGTTAGCTGCAAGTCTAAGATTCATCACATTTGTCGTGAAGTGGTGATAGTAAACATAAATGATAAATGAAAAGTGCTATTTAATATTTACGTAAACATCATTTAGCCTCATTTTTTTGCCACCAAACGTTCAATTAAATTAAAAATAATAACAACTTCACGAAATAAAAGAAAGGGACACAGGAAAAGAATAAGAATTATAAAGTTGGTATCAGAAGCGTACCATAATATTTTGTGTGCTGCATGACCTCACATGATAAAATACCTAAAAATAAAATGAGTCACAAAAATTGCTTTTGCAGAAAATAAATTTTTTTCATATTCTAAAAATTATTACTGAATTAATTCAGTAATTAATTCAGCTTTTATCAGAAATTTAATTTTAACTTAAATTAGAAATATTAGCAACAATGATTGAAGATTAATATTACATTGACTGTCAATAATATCACAGTTCGTTTGTACATTTCGCTTTGTATATTTCCTTCACTATAAACGGTCAAAACTATTCTTCGAACTCGGTTATACTTGTTATTTTCTCGTTTCATTTCTTTTAACACTTCGGAATTGTTTCATTGATTTTGCAGTCTTTACATCCGCATCGGCCTCATCACTCTTTTCAAATTCGTTTTATACTTTTCAATGTCCCATGTCACTGCCATGTTACCTTTTCTGATTTTGTAGTTGGAGGCCACAGTTATAACAGAGCTTGAGGATGTTGATGTGACGGATGGATTACGATTGTCCACAAATGTAAAGCAGCATTAGAAGTATTAAAAAAATTCTAAGGAGTGAGTCCAGAAATTGTTTCCATGAAATATGGCCGATTTCAGAGAGATCTTAAAAGGTTTTAACGATACGGTATTTCGATATTTCTATATTAACCAAATATTTTATTATATAATTTTCATAAATAATATTAATTAAATCGATATACTAACCAAAATGGAATAATAAATAAACAATGATACAATTCATAATTGTAAAGCAAAGGTTTGGTGGAAAACTAAAGACAGTACGAAATATTTTTTCTAAATGAAACAGATTATTTCTTCACAGAACTTTTTTCGATTTATTTTCACAATGAATTTATTTTTGTGGTATTTTTGTGAAAAAATATTTAAAAGGTTAGCATCCACAATTTTTAGTTGGCTCCTCCAGTAGATTCAGAAATAAGGGAATTTTAGTAATAAGGGGATAAAAGTTGAAGTTGGTCCTCAGCACCATCTTGATTTTTGAAAGCTTTGGTACCGAGAATAATCTATGCTCTAAATGATGAATTAAACAATAACGACTGCCCTGCTCCAAGTTTTTGCAGTAATTTTTTTTCGTCAGTTTATTGCCATCTAGTTCATTTTATTGCAAAATAATTACTATTTTTTGGAAATTAAATAAGTCCTATTAAAATCACAATGAATAAATAAATATATTGGGAGCGGAGCAGTGAATGTGAAGATTTGTAAACATCTGAGTGTGAAGGGCCTAATGAAAAAAAATTGATAATCCCGACTAAAGGCGATCGGCTACAATAAATGAGTGAAGTGAGGATTCTGAAGCTTTTTCGCAAAAATTAACTAGTAATGGGGTTGTAAAGAATCCTACTTCTTCTAGCAGTTGTTACGACTACTAATTAAGCTATCTCTGTTATTATAATGGTGAATAATATAGGTAAATATAGGATATGCTTCCAGCCGCTGAAGGTATTTTTTAGTTTCGATTCGTCCCAAGGATGATGAATTGGCGAATTATGCCATTCGACTTTGAATAACTGCTTTTGCATTGTTGTCTATTCTGAGTCTGTATTTTAATATTTTTGGCGAAGGCTTTTGAAAATAGATTATCAGATTAATTAGATTAGATTTACCTATATTTACCTATATTATTCACCATTTCTGGTTTGGCTCACTCCACTGATTAAGAGTGGAACTCATTTGCCAGAGTCATAGGGATAGAAATATAGGTGGACTTTCGAAACCAGTCGTGAAAAGAGATAACCACTGAACCTATGATGGTTTGACTTCATGAACCAATTGTGCCACTCGATGATCCTTCTATTCAAGTTATGAACAATTATTTAACAACAATTATTTACCATTTATTAGCAAGTCGAAAGCGCTTTGCTAATAAATGGAAAGTAGATAAATAATTTCAAATAATTCTATTACCTTTTCACAGTGGCAAATAGCTTTCAAAAATGAAGTAAAATCAAAAATTATATTTCAGTAGTAGAGTATAACTGATTTTTATTTATACTGTTCAAGTACGATGTTAATATTATTTCGTGCTTTTCAAAAAGGCTAAGTGGTTTCAGCTGTGCGATGGTTTCAGCGAAACGAACAGGTGCTTCAGCTCTAAAGTTTTATTCGCATTTTTTCATGCCTAATAATGTATTCTATTCACATTAAGAACCAAATGAACTTTACTGAATCACATCACCGATTAAGTTAAATTTATTTTACAGACCACAATGCTTCATTAAAAAAAGGTTTGACGTTTGGTTAGAAATGTTAGATTTCCAACCTATTTGTTTTTGAACGTAGAATGTATTGAATGTGTTGTTTAAAAATGAGTAATCAAGCATTTTTCTCATTGGTAGGTTATCTCGCTCCTTTGACTTATTGCAATGTGCCAGGAAGTCTCTTGGCAACAGAAATAGAAGTGAGTGGCCAGCGTACGAGTTTCATTTATTATATTTTTGGATAAGTTTAATCCTTCTGAGGCTAGAACCTCAGTACCAGCGCTCCAAATTCAGCAACGCCCGCTGAACCATTCCAATTTTTGTTTTTTCCATTATACGACCTTGTCGTCTGACGAACTATGGTTCGAACCCGAGCCGCAATTCCCAGTGCTAATGACCATTGAGCCAGAAGTTAATCAACAACTGGAAAACATAAATAACCATTTTCACTTGAAATATTCTGATGTAAGAAAGCACAAACAAAAAGTGTTGTCCTAAAAGTGTTATCCTAAAATTTAGAAAGGGTTATTTTAGAATATCAGTTTTCATATCACCGTTTCTTATTATTATCTTATTATTATTTAATAATTTTCATATCGCGGGTTACTTATCGATTTTTTATATCGTCATGTTTTCCTTAAATTTCTCCTATTTATTGTCAGCAAATTTTTTATTCATTATCTCCAACTTTCTAATCCGCATTTAGTGGTGCATTTAAGACTAAAGACATCAATTCAAGAAAAATTGTCGACGTGCCAGAGGGCATCTTACAATTGGGACACCAATCTTCAACGCATTTTATCAATGTGTGTTGAATTCGCAGCTTCTTGTAACTACTTTTCGATAAGTATATGAATCAGTGAATCTTGCTTGCTTGATTGATTGAATCATGAATGACGGTGCTGTGGTGGTGATGAAAGCATGAGAAGAAAGAAACATTTGCACTTTTAGAAATATTTCTTGAAGAAAAAAGTAGAATGAACAATAAAAGTTCACATCAGAGCAATGAAATCAATTTTTTATCAAAAAGAAATAAATGAAATTTTTCGAAATGAAGAAAGCGATGGCAATTGAAGTATTCGTTTTAGGTAAAAAGTTGGACAAATCTTTCCAATTATCTTATTTACTCAGTTAATTCGAAACGTAAACGAAGTGGCGTTCAGGAGATTCGCATTAAATGGATTCATCAGTTATTCCTCTTTCTAAATTTTAAAAATAAAACATTTTTCAAGGTAAAACATCCTGCAAGTGGCAGAATGCTCGAGTGGTGTGTTGTCTAGGTAAACGTCAATAGGCTCGGTAGTTACCCACTGATGAGAGCAAAACTATCCTTCAAAGTGAAATCTGCACACTTCTTCTTCTTTCTTCTTCTATCAGCTCTCACCATTACTGGTTACGCTGGCTGCAAGGTTGTAAGACGCTTCCAAGCGGCGCGGTCTATAGTAGTACCATAGTCAACAGTAATAGAAGCCAGTTCTTTTTCCATCGTCTAAGTCCATATATTGCTGGTACACCTACAGTTCAAAATCTTTCCTGACCGTATCAGTCCAGGTCTTGATTGGCCCACCTCGCTTTTGACGCCATCCATCACACGGTTTAGCAAGTAACGAAATATGCGCCAACTCTTGTGGTGGACGACAAAGAACGTGCCCTAACCAGCGAAGGCGACACTCTGTGATAACATTAATTAATACAGGTGGTGTTGAATGAAGGTGGATGCGATCACGCGATATTTTATCCGCTCGACGGACCAGTAAAATACCGTAGATAACAGTGGTCAAAGGCAGCTAACTTCTTAATATTCTCTTAATATCCTTAATGTTCACCACTTTCATTGCCCATGTCTCACAGCCATATAGCAAGATCGAATGAATCACGGCTATATAGATGCGGACGGTTTTTATGGTAATTTCACGACGGCTGCATAAAGGTTTCGTCAACCGAAAGAACGCATTTCTAGCTGTCGTGATCCGGGCTATAATATCGTCTTTTGCCTGGCCATTTGCTATTAGAGTGGACCCAAGGTATTTAAAATCGGGCACTTCCTCGATCGGCAATGAATTTACAAAAAGAAATCAAGAAATCTGCAAACTGGACGTCATCTATAAATATGTCAATTGCCTGGCGAAGAAACACCATCCTAATTTCTATTTTCAAAACGACCACTAACTATATTTTCTAGTTAAATAACTGGTAGAAATATTGACCATTTACACTAAATATATTAGATTAGTAGAAATTTCAACAGGAACAGTACTATATTTAAAAATTCATAATTTATGTGATTCTATGAAAATATATTCTGACAGATCAAATCAGGAAGGCAGATCGAGAGCTGCTAAATATACGCGCGCAATATATTATTGTGCGAACTGGATAAAGTGTAGATATTCAGAATGGAAGGCAGCAATGGTTATTAAAGTATTAGGAAAGCCAAAATTTAAGGCAAAATTTTTATTTCAGATCCAGTCAAAATAAAGGCGAATGAGAAATGAATATCAATGCAAATAGGACTACATTGCTTTTTTTAGAAATATGGATGAAAGAAAACGAATCAAAATGGATTATCCGCCACCGAGCAACCTTAAACATTGCTAATAATCGCATGACCAAACCTGCCTCGAAATCTGCTCCACTGTGAAATTTCGAAATTTTCAACTATTAGATCAGATCTTCCCGCAGCTGCAAAAAATTACTGTTTTTCACTACTCGCCCTTACATCCCATCTCTGCCAAAAATTCAACCATTTTGCTAAGAAAGATGACAAGATTCCCTATATTCTTTTATTTTTTATTGTCCATTATTATTTGTTTCTATTAGTTTCCATTATGCCCTTTTTTCTAATTTTTTAATTTTCACCCAAACTTTACAAATCTCTTTTTTCGCGGTTCGAGCAATATTTATAAGAACTGCCTTACTGCTTCCTTTTCGAGTCAATATGCAATTCATTCCATCGACAATATAAAACGAAGAAAAATAGTTTATTTCACTCATTCATCTATTAAATTTATTCTTTTTGGTACCATAAAATAATACAAATGAATAAGCAGCATACAATTATGAATGATGACTCATATTAAACTTCAAGTGGTACACAATTTGATAAAAAACAGATGAATGAATTTCAACAACATATTTTCCGTTAAAAATGAAATGAAGACCAAAAAACCGGAAGAAATCACATGATGATGAAGCATTATTAGAAGTACAATGGTTGTTACAAATGTCCACAGGAAAAGATCAAAGAAGAAAACGCTATCCTTTCAATTTCACTCTTTTCTGAGAAAAACGAATTCTACAATAAATCCTGAGCAAAAATGAACCAATAAAAAACAATAATTTCGAACTACGGTTGAAGATTTAATAAATGTGATTTATTGTAGGATTCATTCATTGTTCTTTCACTTATACAATTTTAAAAATCCTTTAGCTTTTCACCAATTTGAATCATTATAAAAAACCCGTCTTTAGAAGAAATAATTTAACTCGAGTACAAGAAAATGATCAAGAAAAAAAATTTAAAGGTTCAAAAAAACGAGTGGAGTTTTCCACAAAATAACGTCTTAACATTTCCTGCTAAGGATTAATAGTATTCCAAATCGAAACATAAATAATGAATGATGAGAGCAGAGCAATAAATAGTTTTTTTTTAATGAATGATAGGCTGAAAGCACCAAAAATCCTAAAATATCAAAGAAGTGAAGCCAAAAATTAAATAAATACTGATTTAATATTTCATATAAACCAAACTGAAAATCTATCCATATCTATATCTATATCCTCATGCGATTCTCTGACGAAGGGTCCTCAATAAGATGTATTAAAAAGAAAAAGCAAGAAATATCTGAGCTAATATTTGGGCAGCGCCATAAATTAAGTAATAAATAATACTACCACTTCTGTGAGGAGCCTTCGCTAACTTTTATTATTATTTGATTAACAGGAATCATTTGGCAATAGAACTATGTGGTCATAATTATCTTACCCTTGACTCATAAAAGGACTAACATGAGCAGTGGGAATAGATAAAGTTGGAATATTTTTTGGCTGTAATTTAGCAGGTGATAATTTATTATTGTTGCGACTAGATTTAACAATGGCTTCACATGATTTTGATGATGATATGGACGGTACAGTAGAAGGTCTTAGATGGGTATTAATTGGCAAAGCTGACGGATTTGGCGAATTTTTACGCAACTCATTCAAGTGATTACCAGCACCATTATTCATTAATACACCATTCGTTGGATCAATTCGACTGTGTAATGAATGCAAAGTATGAAGCTGTTGCAAGAAATTGATAGCTGATGATGGTGAAGATTGAGGAGCCCTAAAGTAATTCAGCGGTTACTCGCAATGATTTAAAAAATATCGTAGATATTATAAAACGAATGAATCTGTAGTAAAATTAATAATTAAATACCTTAAATAGGTAGGATCTGAACCTAATGGCACAGAACGACTCGATAAAATATGCTTTATTGATTGTGAGGCAACTTTCGGGTCTAGAAATAATGATGCAGGTATATGGGTTGAACCAGATATATTTTCAACTTGTTTTTCATCGACGGTCGAATTTCCAAACTGCAAATCATTTTTGTTAAAAGCAAAAATATTTTATCTGAAAATTTTTCAAAACCACAATTTGAGACAAAAAATAAATAAAAATAAACTGCAATCAAATATACGATTTTTCTAGATATATATAAAACTTTATATTGAAATTTTTATATTTTTTACCTATAATGTCTACTTGGTGGAATAAAATATAACCTTATTTGAATCATTATTCATGCCATAATTCTGCATCAAAATCTCGATATGTGACTTGGGTTCATGATGAGACTGAACAGGTCGCGAATAAACATCGGAGAAACCGCTATCTGAGCTTACTCTGACCATATCGTTTAAATTATTGGTCTCAGATGGAAGCGTATTTGCCTTTTTAGACATATTATTTTCTGATGAATAATCACCAGCCTCTTTTATGCTAATTTTACTTTCTGAAGTACTGATACTCGAAAGCATATCATAAGAATTTGAACTATTTTGTGAGCCACATGTTTCGTGTGAAGCAGATTTCGATTTCGTTTTTGACTTTGCACGGCTCGAATCCGAAGAAGTCGAAGAAGGCGTATCACATCGGTTCCTTAAATTTTCAACAGATTTTTCACCTGCTGCTAATCTAAAACAATGTTATATAAATGTTTCTTCAAGAAAAAACTCAAATAAAATTAAATTAAATTTAATTGCTAATGGAAAATGTTCAAATCCACGAATCTTCAGATTATCAATTTTTTGTACAAAAATAACTAAAAATCGGTTGCATTCAATTTAAGTAACTTTCTTTTCTTAAATAACTTTCTTAAATATGCATTACCTGGTATTACTAAGTTGAAAACTAACTTTACAGCTGCAACAATTGCTTTTTCCGACGCGACTTCATTCGATTTTTCATGAAGAGGAGCTAGCTGCTTCAGTGCCTCGACGAGTCTATGTTCACCAGGTTTCAAACGGCCTCTATTTAAATTTCCAACAGGCTTGGATGGGAAAGATGCCATACGTTTTTTAGTGAACCCTTGAACCGAATCTATTTTTTCATTACGAATGGAAATTTGCGGAGGACTTCGTTCCAATGGAGAAACACCAAGCATTCGTTGAAGTGGTGGTGCAGGTGAAGACGATGATGATGTTTGCTTTTTCTTTGTTGGTGAAGAAGGTTTCCTCTTTTTTCTTAAAAAATAAGTGATTAAAATAAACTAAATTTGAAAGCCCTAAGGTTTTTGGTAAACCTAATAATAATATTTTATAAGATATAAAACACAATGGGCCAAAGAAAAGGGAATTCAACGCAGAATTTGAAGGAGTTGCAATAGACTTTAATAAAACGATTGTTTCATCCTGAAAAGCATTTCGCGAGTATTTTAAAAGTTTCGGCTTTTTTTGAGAAATAAAAAACCTTTCGAAAGCGATTCTCCAAATGAGTCCTAAAATTCTTTAGAGTCCTAAATCTTTTTTCTACACTTAATGTTGGCATTTATTAAACTGTATAAGTGAAAGTACTCTTATTTTGATTGATCGGTCATTAATCGGTCATTTGCCACCTTTCCTACCTTCACTTTCCCTTATTGTAGCACTAAATTTTGTGGGTAATTTTTGACCGCTTTTATGATAATTTTATTTTCAAAGAAACAGCTAAAGTTTTCGGCCAAATAATAAAACAAAACTAAACGGATAGGGCGGCCGGTGATGCTTCGCTTCGACTGGTTTCTATTTCTATCCTTGGATAGGAATTCCGTTATTAAAAGTAAAATGTGGGTGTTTCTGCAGATCCACCTGCCATCTACAGCTCCAATCCAGTCAGTACACCGTCATAAAATGAAAATAAGTTAAAATATAAATAAACCTTGGTGGAGGCTGAAGCCCCGTTGTGATTATCGGTTGATGATTCGCGCCAGCTTCCATCATCGATGTATTCAATGACACAGTTAAAGAAGGTAGCTCAATTGGTGTTTCAACTGCTGGAGGAATCTGAGGAATATGAGAGATTGGTTCTTCCGGTATAAGTTCTGGCATTAGCTCCATGTCAAGCACTGGTGGTTTTTCCTCTTCCATTATCCTCTAAAAAATACATACCAGTTCACTCTGGACATTCGAAAATTTTAAAAATTAATTTGTCAACAAAAATAAATTCTTAGATTAATAATACTTTATTAATTATCAAAAAGGCTAACCAATAGTGTGAAGAATAAACGAAAAGGTTTCTTCCTATTCCAGGTAAATTGAGCTATAATATCCTGCAAAGTGCACCACTCTTCTAGAACATTTTTGCATGTTGGATCCAAAAAATGCAGTCGATAAGAATCAGTTACTTCAATCTTTGCTTCCAAAAATAACCTTAATGATTTAAGCGTTGTTTCTGCTTTACATCGCAAATATCTGAAATTCATATTATATATATATATATATATATACATAAATGTGTGAAATTCGAGACATCTACCCAGAGGCTGGGATTTGCGTGATACCTTGTTTACCAGTGCACTTTTCTAGATAAAGAATTTATATACCGTTCCTGGAATTTGTTGGAACCCACTAGTTTAGAGGGCACACCTCTTTCCACGACTGGGAATTCACCATTTTGGCCTTCATTTTCCACATATTCTCTAGTTCCTCTCTCAGATCAGCCCAAATTTTCCCTAGATTTTTGTTTTCCTCCTTTCTAATTTTCCCTTCATTTGGTATGGTATATGGTATATCAAAAATCAATATCAAACCAATCAAATCAATATCAACAATATCAAAAACGATGATTTTTATCTTACTACCACAAATCTGGTTCCACAGGATCTTGGCTTCGTTACCTACGACTTTCTGGCGAATCTCTTATCTGGCCTTGGAAAGGTCAAAGCTATATATATGATACGCCGAAGGAAACGTTTTATAAATTATTTCCCGTAATTCGTAATCCGGCAAATACCATATATGTTGAACAAATATTCCTGCAGACAAAGCTATTAGATTATGTTTTTCAATATGTTTCCTGCATGCATCTTATAATCTACCACTGTATATGTTACTGAAGCTCTTCTGTTCAATACAGATCTTGAATCCTGTCTGATGCGGTAAATCCTTTCTTCTGGATCTGACAATACTGTGATCAATGCCTCAACACTCCAGTTTTTTCTAACCATTGGTATTAATTTCTCAACGTTAGCCATCTCAGCTATCTGTCGATGAAACATTCCATGGAGGGTCTTATTTCCACTTCATTAAACTTGACTATTTCCTCTCCCTTTACCACCACCCGATTATTTCTCCGATGTGAATGATAGCCGACGTTTTCGCTGCAAATTTATAAGCAAGTCAATGTTTGCTTTTAGCATATAATTTCATATTATCCACGTATGACTGGTGGCTGATTAAAGAACAGGAAAAAAGTTTAAAAAAACGTTTCACTTAAATAATATCAGTGAAAAATTTACGAAAAATTAATGAGCCTATTTCTTTCACAGAAATATGTCAACAACAACTAATGTCCTGCATCGTTTCCATGAATTATTTATTTCTCATTAAAATTAACAGATTTTCCAGATTCTATTTTAGATTTTAGATATGTGCTATTGGTAGTGCGAAATATTCAAATATTTTGAAAGATCAAGATTCCAATAGAACCAGATTTTTTAAATGTTGGCTCCTTCCAGCCAGTAATAGATGACGAACCAAAATAATAAAAACAATTATTCTGCAATAAAAACTTCACAAACCTTGAAAATAATTTAGCTGATTTTTTTGGTTGTTCTCGTTTCTTTTGATCAGCTGCAGCCAGTGTGCTCGGCTGTGAACTGTCGATTTCTAAGAACATCACAGGCACGAATTCAATGCATAATGATACAAATTCATCTGGTGCGCATATATATAACCTCAGATTCGCGAATTTCTTTAAATTAATTAGATGGAATTAACAAAATATTCGAAATATTCATTTAAATCCCCGATTTTGATTACCAAGATTTCACTAGAACTATTCGAAACAAGATTTAAAAAATGATGAATTGAGCCTTATAATCGATAATACTGAGGCATAGGATTAACGGTAAAACTATCAACAAGTACAATGAAATACTGGTGGACTTTCCGCTTACAAATTCAGCGAATGGTAGGGATAGATTCAACCTTACAACTACCAAATATAAGCAGAAACCAACTAACATCGTCGAATAAACCAGATTCGTCTGATCCTGACATCAGTTTTCCTTTGCAGAATTCTTGACGTTTTACATATTCGATATGATACGCCGAAGGAAACGTTTTATAAATTATTTCCCGTAATTCGTAATCCGGCAAATACCATTCGCCGGGTCGTAATCGACGTGAGCATTTCGGACAAGTCATATCGCCATTCAAGTGCTTTGTAATGCATGATCGACAATCTAATAATGTACAAATGAGAAAGATTTTAAAAAATACTGTTCATCTTATTCATCTTTTAAATTACAGATTCTTAAGAGAAAAACTTGTGGGGATAGAATGGCTCAATGGGTTGTTGCTCAATTTAGAGTGCGATCTGAGTTTCTATTCCCTACAGGAGTAAACCTGTCCAAAAATGCGTGTGATGCTGGCGAATCACTTGTATTTCTATCGCAAAGGGATTCCCTGGCATATTGTCCAATGTGACGAGCCAGCGGAGCGAGTTTAACCAGTAATGGTGAGGAAATCTTAAAAAAAAAGAGAAAAACTCACATCGACAGCAGCAATCCTTGAGTATAACCGCGTCGATAATCAGCCCTGAACACAAATGACATTTAAAGCCATCGAAATTCTTAAACTCCCCCATTCACTGCAAAAAACTAACGAAGAATTTGGGTTCGTTCGATTCAAATTCGATGATCGATTCCAAATTATATCAGTTATGAAATTTTCGCACAAAAATATTCGAAAATTCAATTAAACCGTTCAAATTCACTTCATCCAGAAGTGTTACAGCTCAACGGATCGTTTATTCAGGAACTTAGGTAGAATTTAAGACGGAAAATCGATAAACAACAATCGAAAAGAAAAGATTCAGTCAAGAGAAATGGCGAAAATTTTATTCCAGTTGCCTTTGGAACAAACTGGTCGTCCCTTCACCTTTATCCTCAAGTACTCCTTTAAACATGTCACGAAACTCATATTTCCAAAGCAAACCGATCAAACTACAAAATAAGATCCGCCACGAGAAATGACGAATTTAACTAACGCAGATTTTTGATGAATGCTTTTATCAAGTCACATATAGATGGGTCACACAGATGACCGTAATCAGCACAATGTCACATCCTTTTAATTATATACATGGATGGAATGCGGACGGGTGATGCACCGTTCATATTCTCATTTCAGGAGCCATCGCAGCCTCTCATAAAAGGAATAAGACTGTCACTAGAATCCCAGTCCGAGTGGTGTGACGTACTATTCCATACTTCCACTCCCAAATGATTCTGAAGTGAAAACACCTCACCCTAATAGCCAGCGAAATGTACACTGACAAATTTGCCAGAAGCCTAATAAAAATAAATAATAATAAAAATAGCTACGATGCAATTTTTAACTGAAAAACCTTTCTCTAATAATAATTATTATAAAAGTATTATATGATCATTATCCAATGCGAAAATAAACTAAAGAGGTCAAATATAATAGAAAGGAATTTCTTCTAAATGATTTCCGTTTACTGACCAATTCTGGCCAAAGAAAATATCATGGAAAAGTGCCAGGAATTATGGAAGAGCTCAAGTGAAATCATAAATTTCAAAACGATAACGACTGCGACGAGTAATAACAAAAGACTCGCCTACATGAAGTGAGCCGACCGTGGAAGCTTCAACGCTATGCAGGTAGAGTGTCTCTTTTATGAAACGAATGCCTTAACATTTACATTCGATTACTACCACGAAACTGGTTCTAACACATTGATGAATACTGCGACATTCAGGTTGACATGGTTTTGGATTATATATGAACTCATTAAGAGGAACCGCGAAGTAATGAATAAAAGAATCAAAATCTGAAAAAACTGAGTGAGGGAAAACTCTTCGAGAGCGATTTAGGTACCAAAATAAGTAAACTTCAAGGAGTACGATAAGTAGAGCATCACTTTTCGAAATCCTTTAGTGCAAGGGGGAGGGACTGAATGACATTCTTTTCAAAATATTGTGGCTAATCTCCGCAAGACTTCTGGCACGGCTCGACCGCTCTCTCTCTCAAGAACTAAATCTCATTGCACGGAAAACATTCATCGATAAAAAGCAAGCCCATCGATAATTTGGACATAATATGGTCAGCGCTTCTTCATTCGTTCACCATCAAGGTCACCAAAAAATTGAAAATTTTCGCGCTCGAAATCGAAAATTCGTTCTTGGAGGTCTTTTTTTTCGCGCTAACAAATATGAATAAAGAAATTATCATTGCAGACGAAAAACTGTTCAACAAAAGATTAACAACATTCTAATGGCGAACGAAGGCAAAATAATGAACATAATTATAATGATTACGGTCGATTTTTCCTTATAAATAAGTATTATATTCGAAATAAAACGGTAAAAAAGGACGAAAACCAGATTTTTCAATAAATTTCAAAAGTTGGTCGCCAAAAGACGATTAATTAACAAATTAATTGTCAGGACAGCCGAACAGACTCAGATAGACTCAGAGAGCCCAGATTATCGTACAAAGAGGCAGCAATTCGTCTCTTCCCCCACGGATATGAACCTGACATTAATGTCGCTGCTCACCTACCTGTCCTTCTATGCCCCGCGGGTAAAAATTACTGCCCATACTAACAACCAACCTAACCAAAAATAGTGGGCGCCAACAACTTACTGCTTACAAACGCCAAGACCATTTATGCACCTTATGGTTTTCGTTATTTAATGACAATTCATACAGTAATATATAGTGACAATAAATGAAAAAATAGAAAAATCGATGGATCCATCAATCCATCAATCGTCGCCATCCATCAATATGCGCAAAGGATGAAAACTAAAAAAGTTCAGTAAAAAACTTATGATTCAACAAATTAAATGAATGGTTCCGAAATAAAATTTTAAAAATGATATAAAATAATAAGTTTTATATTGGAGAAAAATGATAAGAAATTGAAAGACAAATGCGAATTCAGTGCAAAAACTGATGATCTACGAGAAGTTCAACAGTTCAGTATCCCTTCTTCTAACAACTCTCACCATATGGTCAAGCCGGCTCCGCTGGCCTGCGGGGTAAGACTGGTAAGCTAGTTCCTAAGCTGCGCAATCTCATGCCGTCGCTGGTCGCTGACAGAGGCCATTCCTTTCTTTGCCATAAAGCAAAAAAACAAGCATACAAAATTTATTAACATATCACCGTCCTACATTATACCCTAAATATTAGTTATACAGTAATCTTAAGAAAAACAAAAAATTTGCGCCAGAAGTAAAGGAACCACACTTTTTTTCCAATCTATAATATATTATACCCGTAAAAAATAAATTAAATTTTTTATTATTATTACTATATTTAATATTTATTATCTAATAAAATAGACTTTTTTCGAAAAAAATTCTTTTCCATTTGCGATCTATTAAAATTAATCTGTAATATGCAATAATAGTAGAACTATTAATCGCATACTAATTGTAATTAATAATAATATTAATAATATACTAATTTTATAATTGTAATATTAATTAAAATAATTACAACTACTAATATTTAATACTATTGTTGATATTTGATTGCCAAGGCTTATAAAATATTTTATATAATAATTTTATTATTATCACTATTACTGTTTTTACTGCTATTACTATTAAACATTTTATCGATTACTGTTGTTATTACCACTACTAATTATTTTTTACCATAATTTTTAATTACTACATATTACAATCATAACATATCTATAATATCTCAACATAATTTAATAAAAATAATGAAAGAAGAGAGAGGAAAAATGCTGCAAAGTTTTAATGACAACGATAACAAAGTGGACATAAGACAAAGGTATATGTCCTAAAATATCACATCAACCAACCAAAAGCATCGACAATTAAGTGATATAATATTGGAAATTCCCTATATATTAAGTCATATATTTTTGATCGCTTTCCAATTAGAACCTATCAGCAGAGATCAAATGAAAAATTAGGCTTTCGATTTCATCGGACGGTAGAAAATTTCTTTAATATTATCTCGTATTTCTTTCCATTCGAATATTCATCAACTATTTAGATACACTCGGTTAGCATTAATAAGGTGAAAGGCGGCAACACAAAACTACAATAACAACATACTGATAAATAAAAATAATAACCGTACAGTGATTGATAATGATCGCTATGATAATAGTGATGTTGATAGTAACAGTAGTAGCAGTAATAATTAACAATAATAAATAATGACAATAAATAATTAGCAATATAAATAATAAAAAACAGGAATAATAATAACAATAATAATAACAGCAGTAGTGACGACGATCGACCGAAGCATCAATTAAAATCAATAAGGTTACATTTGATTATGAAAAAATTTCGCCAACAACTTTTTACCATAAATTTAGCAACATTAGCTGCTCGCAAAAAAATCGAGTAAAAAATTAATTTAAAAAATTTTTTAGAAATAATTTTCTGAAAACCGAGAAAAAACTATAAAATTACAAATTTTTAACGGCGAATATTAAATGAATAAATAAAAATAACCAATATTAGTTTACCGCAGAAAAATCGAATACACAGAGAAATTACATATAGCGGAGAGGTATTATTTTAGGCCAAAAGCTTAAAAGTCATATATAAGGGCAAATTTTTTGGGCCGAATTTTGTTCAAAAGGATAGATGCTTTGTGGTACCGAACCAGAAAATTTCGGAAATGTCCTAAAATAAATGTAACCAAGCTAAAGAGAAATGGTGCTTGCTGAAATGGTACCTGCAAGTGTTTTAAACTGAAGTACCATAAATAAATGAAAATCAACGAATTTTTTCTAAAAAAACTTAAAATGATAAACGAAGAAAAAAAACAACGAAATTCTTTTCGAATCGAACAACGAAAACGATCAAAGCAACAAAATTTGTGGCGCTTTTTGCCAATACATTTCTTTCATATTTTCAATACAAAATAAAAATGAAAATGAGAAATACAGAGAGAAAGGAAGAGAATAGAGAAACACGCGAATAGAGACAACTTAAAAGCGAGAGGGGGAAGAAGAGCATAAAAAAGAAACGGAAGACATGGAGCGAAACGAAGAGAGCCAGAGAAGCAAAGAGACATAACCTCCACAACAGACGAAGAACGACAGTACCAATCAACCGTGTTCGCCGATGTCGAAATGCTCGAATAAAATTAATCGGTCTAAAAATTTTAGGCCACGCCCCCTTAATTCGACTCTTTTTCTCTAATTCTAACTCGGCCTAGGATCCACCCACTTGGGTTGTAATATCCTCATTAATTATGATTACGGTAATATCGACATTTCCATTTTTCTGTATTTCTACTCTTTTCTATTATCTTTCACTTCACCGATTCTTCTCTTTTTCTTTTCCGCTCAGTGTTTTCTATATCCCTCTTCTCTCGTCGCTCGAACGATTGTCATTAGCAGTGGCACATATGTAGCGTGCACACATTCCTCGCACACATAATCAACGCCTCACACATATATCACAAATAGGTACACAGCGCCGCATTTTCAATGAAAATTCTAGGAATTTACGGAAACAGCAAATCGAGTCGCATATAACAACAGCCAAAATATAGTCAATATAATTTGAAAAGAGACATACAGCGGCCACACGTGTATGTTTATGCAGCAACTGACGAAAGCGACAGTGAACACGCCCAGTCGTCATTTTATGATTAGATTAGATGGCATCAGCAATACAAATAGCAATAGGACGAGGAGAAGCAATGGCACGCAGTCTCACTAGCAAAACCATTATGCATTCGTGTATACGTGCATAGATGTACACACACATGGCAGACAATCTGCACGTCAAATATATATATAACGCGCACGGATTCAAAAATCAGCTGTCTGCGTGCAAGAGTAAAAGTGCACGCCATTTGTAAAGACCGGGGAAAGACCTTTTTTGAAAAGTTGTCAATAATTTCGTGTATCTTTAGCGATGATGCGCGAAATTAGCGTGACGCAACTAAATGCTGCTGACCTTTTATTAAAAAAATTTATTGATTTAAAAAAGCTAAAATTTCACATAAAAAATTGCATTTGTTATTGGTTAAGTAATTTCATTTTTTCGCTTATAATATTCGTTATTAATTTGTATTAAAAGAAGAAACTGAATTGTGTTTAAAAGAATTTTAGTTTTTATCTCGCAAATATTTCGTATCGATTTATGAAATTCTTGTGAAAACGACAAAAATTCTTTTACGCATCTATACAAAAATCGTGCAAAAATAGCGATGCACCCTCTTAAAGAGAGTTGATGAGTGGATAATTGACTCGTTTAGAGATCATAAATTATTAATTCGAATATTAACTAATTTAAAAATGAGAAAGTTATTGCAAGAAAAAAAGAGCTTTATCTTTATTACAGTATTCGATGACCTCGGGCGATAAAAGAATAGTTCCTTTGATAAAAGGGAAAAATTCGTGGCAATTTTTCGCAAATTTTCCTTTATTACAGCATTTTATCACACATTACTTAAAAATTGATAGATGATATAATGAACAAAAATAAAAACGATAATTTTAGATGCTCGATGAATTTTATTCTTCATCTTCTAATAGCTCGTACCACTACTTGCGAAGCTGATACATCAATCTACAAGTGTAAAATTTCCAAATTCCTCTGTTCGATGCCATACCTGAATTTTGTTGGAATTTCATAATACATAATAAATAAGGCGAAAAACTTTATTTGAAATTTGAAAATTGATGGAATGGCATTTTTTTTTTATCATCTTAAAATAAAAATTGTATATATCATATTTCATTTTGTAAAATTAAAAAGAATTTCAAGTTTCGACAGAAGTACAAATCAAGTTTGTTGCTATTTTTCGTTATCTTTTTCTGAAAATTAGATCAAAATTTAGAAGGAACAACGATTATAGAAAAAAAGTGAAAAATAAAGCTGATTTAGAGGATTTGAACTAACTAAT